ATACTATCAATTTTAATGTATCTTAATCTTATCGATAGTATTTGTTTTCTAAAAACACTTTTACACATTTTTTTTTGTGATTTTTTTTTAGTGATGAAAAAAATTTTATTACTTTAATCTAAATAAAATTTTTAATATAAAGTGATATTCCTATACATTTCTAGTGCTTTAAAAAGACATCCTGTCAATTACAATCTAAAGAAAAGTCTTTCATGACTGACACGGTTGACGGTACAATTTTCCGGTGTATTGAACGGTAAAATTTGTTGAGTGAAATTCGGAATTTCTCGCCGAGTTTCTCGAGCCATGATAAAGAGTTCGTAAAAACGAAGACGAGAAACCGCCTTAGTGGCAGATGAATAACGGAAAAATAATGGGAGAGACCGATTTCCCGACTCGTGACGAACAAGGAATCCGTCTTGCTATACCGCATCTAATCACGATTACGATAACGAACTTTCATTATACGCTAGGCTAGATAAAACTGTATGCTGGCGCCCTCTGTAGCGTATCTCGTTCACTACAAAGAATTAATCGTGAATATCATCGGTTGATAGTCGATAAAAATTTTTTTCCGAGATACATTTTACAAGTTAAAATAATAATAGATTCTTTTTAATTTATATATTAAAATACAAAATATTATCTCAAAAATATTACTCTTATCATGCTTGGATTTTTAATTTCAATTACTTGAAGATACCATTACAATTTAAGGACATTTTATTTGTTTGTTGTTATATTTTATTTATAATTTGAGTTATTTATGATTCAAAATATATATTAATAAATATTCCGGAGTTTACATTAAATTAAATTATAATCGTAATAAATATTTTGTTTCACGTTACATAAGTACAAATGATCTGTGTTAACTGCACACATTTCTACATTTCCAGAATATTTGTGAATTTCTCGAGTAAATCTCGCGGGAATTAATGGCAATTAGGCTATGTACTTACCGACTTCCGCTAGACTTCGTAAGCGGCTGTATATTTTGCGTGGTCCGTTTAAACGGCGCCCGGCCGCCCGAACCCACGGACATCCCGCCTCGAGGCTGAAAGGAACGACATTTTTTTTTTAATGAGTACTCCCGCCAACTCTTGAATGTAAGGCATTCTTACGTACGCGAACCGTAAACAACTATAATTATATCTTAAGACTTAAAGGTTATGGAAGTTAAAGTTGGGATTTAACTGCGACAGTTTGTACGCAAAATACGGGATGCAAATGTAAAATTAACGGCTAATTTTAACATCGACGACGGACTACGAGAAATATCTTTAAAGAGATAAAATATATCTTGTAGATCATGATCACTGCACTAACAAGCAGAAGAATGCGTATCGCTGTCAAGCAAAGAACGCGCGCGCCTACATAACTAATAATAAGGAGCGAAGTGAATATTCCCCTGCAGGAGAGCGTATTTCATTTTTTAATTGTCTGAAAGCCTGAGAAAGATGAATAATAAAGAAGACCCGGTCATCTTACAATCGGTTTCGCCGCAAAAAAAGCCCCGATAAGCGAGCGATTAGAGAACGCGTCGCTCGCAGATAACGCAATCTCCGGCGATAGCCCGTCTCTCGCGACGCGACGGAAATTATCTCCCTCAGAAAATAAACAATTAGGAAAGGGGCGCGATGGGGCGAAAATGCATCGGGACGCGTATCGTTCCGCTCTGTTTCCGCGCCAAAGAGCCAGCAATTAAATCGCGAGGTAGACCATTACGCGACAAGTCGTATCGCGCTGAAGATTATCGGATGCGGAATTTAATAAAAAAAAAGCGGAACGCTATCGCCGGTTCAGATCGCCGTCGGTACGTTCGCGAACTCACGTCCGATTTGTACCCCCCACTCTCTCCCCCTCCCCCCTCCTCGTTTTTAGCGAGTCCGCGCCGGGTAATCGCGACTCTGCGCACGTGCGACATGCACGTAATTATCCCGGGCGCGCATTAAAAACAAATAATTATCGACGATCGCGCTGGCTAACGTTCCCGTGACGCTCTGATTCGGCCGTGATTTATGAGTAACAGCTGGATAAGTAATCGGACACCGTAAACGCGGGTAATTACACGCTGGGCGATGACAGATCTCGGATCACTCCGGAAATGTGTAACATCGATCAACGTTATTGATCATTTTATTACTGTCACCGCCTTGATAATTATGACACGCAATCGCCTTTTCCGCGACGACCAAATGAAACATAGTACATATAATTATGATAAATATAATAATTATTTTTTTTCTTACGCGCGGAGAGTTGACATGTGTAATTAAATTTTACTGCACCACACGATTCTGCATGATTTTATATGATTTTACAAGTTATACTTAATTAAAAAAAAAAAAAAAAAAAAATTAGTCGCACAGTTTATAGTAAGAAACTCTTAACATGACGACTGATAAAGTACAATTTGAACAGTTATACTTTCTCAGTTTTATAATCAATTTTTATTTCATTAATTTTAAATTATAAATAACTTAATAACTTTTTAAATATCAATCTCTCGTTCTCATGGTGCACAAAGCGCGAAATAGATTCACTTTTACTAATTACATATTTTAATAGAAATTTTAAGTAAGGAGTAGATTAGCACAATAGAAATATATCAATCACTTAACGTTTCTAAGTGCTAAATAGAATTTGCAATTAAAAAGTTTCTTAATTAATTACATCTAATAATAGAATTGAGTTAAGATAATAAATTAATCAATTTAAAAATACTATATAAACCATCGAATCGAATTAATTAAATATAAAACCAATATCATTAGGTATAACATCATTACATTTATTTACAAATTTGCACTATCATCATATTTTGTAGAAAGCTTTATCCAAATCCACATCTCACGGCTTATTAATCGCAGGAACACTCAACACGTACGACCATGAGTTATTATCATCATCTTATCTCTATTACTATATATTGTGTATCACATTGCAAATAAGGCATTTTCTAGATGAGTACGTAATCTCCAATTGTAATAAAAAAATAAAATCGTAATAAAATCTTATAT